GCGATCCAGTTAAGAATGCACGGTTCGATGCGGAGTCGTGATAGCTTTAGGAGGAGGCGACTATGTGGGACAGTATCAAAAGCTTTGGCAAAGTCGATGAAGATGATATCGGTCTGGTGATTGTCATGAGTGTTGACATGAAGGTCAGTAATGAACTCGAATAGCTGGGTGACACATGAGTAATGTTTCCTAAAGCCATGTTGGTTTGGAAACAAAAAGTTGAATTGATCGAGGTGAGCGAGAAGGTGCGTGTATATGACGTGTTCCATGAGTTTACAAGGCACACTAGTGAGGGATATTGGTCTATAGTTGGTAGGATTTGATGATGGACCAGCTTTAAGGATAGGTGTTATTTGGGCATGACTCCAATCGGCAGGAACAATGATAGAGTCGAGGCTTTGCTGAAAAAATAGTGAAAGAACGGGAGATATCAAGTCCTTTGTTACTTTTAAGAGTTTTGAAGAAATTTTATCTTCTCCTGGACAAATACCGACTCGAAGGTTTTCAATGAGTTGGGAAATACCTTGAGGTGTAAAAATTAAGGGGGGCATAGGCTCAATGCTGTCTGAACGCAAAACGAAAGAAGGCAACGGAAAGCGTTCATCTGTAAAAACACTGGAAAAAAAGTTATTGAACGCGTTGGCTGCATCGCCGTCCGATAGTGGGACACCGTTCTCATCAGTTAGATCTGGGTGGGCGACCCTTTTCTTCGGATTAACGACACGCCAAAACTTTTTGGGGTCGGATCGCAAAGTATCTGGTAGTGTCTGGCCATAAAATTTCCTCTTGGCGTTTTTTACTTCATGCTTGCACGTATTTGAAACAGTGTGGTAATTTGTCCAATGTAGGGATGTATTAAACCTCGTAGCATTCTGAAAGAGCCGTTTCTTTTTATTCAGAAGTGTCTTTATAGATCGGGTGAACCATGGAGAGGCCGGATTCGATGCTATTGAAAAAGTAGGAATGTGACGTGACAACACTTCTTGAAGTTGACTTCTGATCAAGTTCCAGTTTTCACCGACAGAGCGTAATGCGTGGTTGCGCGTGTAGTCTATAACGAATTGAGCCATAGTTGTGTTTATGTCTACAGTGTTTGCACGTGAATAGTCGTGAATATTTTTCCGAGCCTTGGTGGAGCGTTGAACAGGGAAGGCTGCATTGACAGAAATAATCTTGTGGTCACTAATCTGGTCAATAATGTTGACGCCCAGCACGCACTGAGGATGTGTAGTTAGAAATAGGTCTAAGATGGCGTTATTTCTTGTGGGTTCAGAAACCATCTGGTGAAGACCGTTGATACGTAGAGTTTGAAGAAAAGCACTGGACTGAAGTGGGTTAAGACAGTTGTTATGGAGTTGAAGACTCGACCAATTGATACCGGGAAAATTAAAATCCCCAGCTACGACAAGTGGGTGATTAGGAAATGATTTAGTTATGGTGCCTACGGAATTATAGAAACATTCATTGAATTCATCATTCTGCGAATTCGGAGGACGATAGCAAACACCGAGGAGCAGAAATCGGAAGTCCAATTGCAAGCGTACCCACAACATTTCTAGAGGCGAAATGTTTTCAATGACCGAGCAAGTAATATCCTTTCTAACAGCGATAAGAACGCCGCCTCCTCTTTGTGTCGTTCGGTCTTTTCTATAAATGTTATAAGTATTAGATAAGATAAGTTTGGAACTGTTGATATCGGGGCATAACCAAGTCTCTGTTCCAAATATGATATCTGGTTGACAGCTTACGGTGATGTTTTCAAATTCTACTTGTTTTGAAATGATGCTTCGAAAGTTGGCTATTAAAAATGATAATCGGGGTAAGTGTGCAATGTCAGTACTAGAATTTTGAGCAAGTCATTCGTTGGAAGCGCTAACAGGAAAACGCCCTCCGAGCTGAAAGACGGTTTGGCTGGAATGAGTGTACACATAGATCTGGTTGTTTACGTATAGCTTATCAAACTTAATTTTGTAACTTGTTCCTTCATCTCTGTACACAGAAGCGTACTCCCACAGTTTTTGTCGCGCCAGCCTGGTTTTAGCGGAATAATCTTCCGAGATCGACACTTTTGGTGAAGTTACGTTTTTCAGTTTGGAAGCGTTACGAAGTATCTCCTCTTTACTTTTGAAGTTCAAAAGTTTCACAATAATCGGCCTATGGAAACCGTCTCTCTTGCGACCGATGCGATGCGCTCTTTCCACCTCGCCCAAGTTCACCCCCAAATTTCTTGTTACGAACTCACGTATGATTGTCTCAGCTTGGTTCCAAGTTTCATTATCGCTCTCTGGTAGTCCCTTGACGATAAGGTTATTCCTTCTTAACCGATTGTTTAGGTCATTGACAACATTTTCGAGAGACTCTGACTGAATTTGCAAGGAAGAAGTGTTTTGTTGAAGCTCACCCAGAGTTGACTTCACCGTGGTTAAGTTCTCGTTGATGACTTTAATCTCTTCCACTTTTTTTTCCAAATTACCAACGCGGACTCCCAGACCGGCGATACTACCCTTTATTTCGTCTAGCTTTTTTGAGTTCTCAAGCTGATTTTGGGCAGAGTTAGCAATCAGGGCATCGATTGATACCCTAAGTTGGTCAATCTTTTCCGAGTTCGTCGGGGGCCCGGGGTTTGATTCGACGTCGCCCGCATTTGACAAGAGCATAAGCATGACAGATGTAACAAGTAGCTTCAGACAACCCGCATCACAGAAACGCTGAATGTACAGGCATTTGAACATCGGAAAGTGTTTATCTCGGGTTTTCCTCGGGTGAAAACAGCCAACCCGGGCTCTGTAGGTTGCAACATCAACGCCCATCTAAGCACTCAGGGGATTCACGGCCTTACAGAACGAAGCAAAAAATGCCCTGTTTTGGGCTTACCTGCAAATTCGGGGTGATTAGCACAGAGCTTGGGCCGCGAATCCCGCAGATACTCCGGTGCTGGCTTCTTTTGAAGGCCGTGCCGCTATCCCGCTGTGCTCCGATGCTCTTGCGACGTTGTCCGGCACACCGGACGGTAGAGGCCGCTTGCGCAGATCAGTGCAGGCGAGTGGTGACGTGGTGCGTGATAGGAGGGGGCGTGTGGCGTCCGTTGAAGGAGTCTGCAAATTCGGGGTGATTAGCACAGAGCTTGGGCCGCGAATCCCGCAGATACTCCGGTGCTGGCTTCTTTTGAAGGCCGTGCCGCTATCCCGCTGTGCTCCGATGCTCTTGCGACGTTGTCCGGCACACCGGACGGTAGAGGCCGCTTGCGCAGATCAGTGCAGGCGAGTGGTGACGTGGTGCGTGATAGGAGGGGGCGTGTGGCGTCCGTTGAGGGAGTCTGCAAATTCGGGGTGATTAGCACAGAGCTTGGGCCGCGTCCGTTGAAGGAGTCTGCAAACGTGCGATTGTCACTTACGGATATTGTGGATCATATTCAACCTATTTTTGAACACGACGGGAATATTTCAAATTTCGTTGAAGTATCCCTTTAAGATCAACCCAGCTGCCGAAAGGAATTACGGGAAAGCGAATAGTCTTTGCATTATAATGTTTAGCACGCAATCACTGATCGTTCTGCTGTTAGGTTCGACTTGCATCCCGAGAACGAAGAGTTGACTGGCCCGAGAAGAAAATGCCAGCCGGTTTGGGGTCAGACATGAAGCAAATACTTTACTGGGGGAATACATATCCTTCCGCGAATATTCAATGGTTTTGACAAGGGCAGGTTTTGCGAAGGTAGAACTTTTAAATGTTCCGCAGCCCCGCGTTTTATTTTTTATGTTTTATTTACATGAAATTGTAATTAATCACCGTGTCGCTTGACTGTAATCATCTGAAACGGTGGCGTGGGGAGGTGGAGATGGGAGAAAGAGGACAGAGAGAAAGATATGGAAAGAGAAAGAGAGTTATATGTACAAAGGAAGGCTTGCTGCCCTCACGAATGCAAGCAGCGAGTCGAAAATGTGTTTCCGGGTACCGGGTGGCTTTGTTAGGTGAGGGCGTGTCTAGTCTGCGTGACTTGTAGGCCGGTAACTCGGTGGACTTGAATTTAGGTGTGCGGTCCTGTGTCTGACACTGCTTAGGGCAGTGTCAAATGATGTGAGGGCGCGCCGCCGGCACTCTGCTAGAAGGCGGAGTGATGCTAGGGCACACATCATCCGGAGAAGAATGGTGTTGAAATTTGGCCATCCACCTTGGCGTTAATGCTGTTTGTGTTTGGAGCTTGCGGAGGCATGTCCTATCCCATCTCGTTTAACCAGATGGGATAGGACACCCTTCTATTGAGAGTCAATGAAAACATGAACCCGCCTGCCATGGTGGTGTAAACGAGACTGGATAACCCATAAGATGGCCTGCTTTGTGTGCTATAAATACCCGGCCGATTGAGTCAAGGAAATCTACTTTCCAAAGATGTTGCCATGCCGACAATTATCGCGTTCATTTAGGGTTAGGAATGGCCAGAATCGAAAGATTATCTAAAATATGCGGCGAGGTCATTGCTCATGCTTTGCGATCTAAGTGAGGTAAGGCGAAGCGAAATCCTCCTGCACCATTCGTTGCTGACTTACGCACCCGATATTGTAGCTACAACGACATATTAGTTCCAAAGCGAGTGGCGCTCACTCACCGGGGCACCACCATGTTTCCCCGCATCCCTACCGAGCCAGTCACGTGATTTCAAAATCGCTCTCCTAGGTAACGCGGCTAACTTTGGCCGCGGTTAGCGCTTCGAGCAAACGGGCTCATGTGATCTAAATTAACCCTCAGTCCTCGGCCGAGGTGTGCCGGATGACCTTCGATGGCTTGGCACGTTTAACCCCTGAATTGGTTTAGATGTCTTATCGTCGAAGACGCCTACCAGGTCTGGTGTTGCTGAACCAAGGAAGATAGATCTCTTGTTGACCAGGACTCGAGATCGCAGACTTGTCCGCTTGCTTTGTTCTTGACAAAAAGTGGGCAAAAAAAGAAAAAAAAAAAAGCCAGAACTGCAGGCAGCCAGCCTCAATTTTTGGTCGTTAGACATGCTGGAAGGTAGCCAATTTGGCATAAAGTAGGCACCAATGGCAACACTGGTTCAGACGTCCCTGCGCGCTCTCGTCTCCCCCCTCGCTCAATTTCTCGCCGGATAAACCACGGTTCGCTGCTTGCGGGAGGAGTCTTACAAGAAATGCTGACGCTGTTTTTTTGTCTGCGAACGCAGGAGATGATCCAAATGCAGACCCTCAGATAAAAGTACGAATCGAGAACGGCATCCTGCATTCACCTTTTCCATCCTCGGATGTACCGACCTGCTCCTTCTACGCACTGGCGAGAGAGTTGCTGAAGAAGTCGCCAGAAAAATTGATGCTGGTAAGCAATAATATAGTTTCCAGTTCGTCTTCATAGAATAAGGAGAATAAACACACACCTATATGCATGACCTGCACGTGGCGTCTCCGATTCGTGCCGTTGGACATTCTGAGCCATGTCTACATGTCATTAAAAAAAAAAAAGAAACGGATTTAGTGATGCAAAATGCATGCTGCAGAAGGATCGACCGGGCTTAGCAGCAAGGCTACCGATACGACCATTGATGTGACGTCATTGCAATCCGTGCATATATCCGGCTGGGACGTCTCTGATCAAGTAAGAAACTACTTACCCCAATGACAGTGTGAACAAACGAGAATAAAAAGAGAGAATTGGAGGGATGATGACTAGTGCAATGGCTCTATCAACTGGGCACAAGGGTTTACCAATATAGAGTAGAATTTCTTTTAAGCTGATGTGAAATTAACTGTGTTTGCTGCATGGATATATGACAGAATTGCCTGAGGACACACCGTTTATTCGTTGAGCGCAAACACGCATCTATGAGCAATAAGACTGGTCTAGCTCTCATACTGTAACGTCATGAGCCGGACACATCGCTGTCTTGCTGACGACTGGTAGGTTTTACCATAGAGTTATTATAAGAAACGCTAGAGGCTCAGCTGGCGCTAGTGTCTGTGGAACTTCCGGTGGCAAATTGAAGCAGAAAGCATGCAGTCTACTTTTCCAGTCTTCCTGTGTATTACTATGGCAAAACGCGCGTGAATTTTGTCTCGTCGCCGGAAAGTGACATGAATAACTTTTGTTATTTCGGTTGTACCGGATAGTATGTACTTTTATTAATATTTGAAAGTGTAATTGCTTTAGTTACAGCATTTTCCCTTTACCACTGAACGATGTTAAACTTCGCTATATTTCAGGCCCAAACCTCTGTTCCTTGGCAGGTATGTAAAAACGAGCGACGATTTTAAGCAAAATAACGATCGAAAGGTATGTAGAATCTGTTCAAAGTTCGCCAGCATTCCGGTGGTTTTTATATATTGCTAATATGCATGTCCTCTCACAATATGAAAATGACCCCGTCGTGCATCTTTACGAGTGGTTAAAAAAAAAAAAAAACCGTTCGAAACGTAAAGAATAAAGTACGTGGCCTACGAAAGGTGTGTTTTATCATTATTTCCTATGTTGGGCAGTTTTTATCGCGCACCTGTTCTCTGGCTTCCCCCTATTTGCAAAGATTTGGAGCGTGCGGGTGATGATTTGTACACAAAACAAGTATCTTCGCACATATTCATGAGCAGAAAGAATAAAGCAGTACTTATTTATTGCAAATCGGACTATATTACGTGACTTTCAATTTATTTTGATCGTCTGCAAGCACAAGGAGTTACTTATCCAGTGTTACTGCCTAGTTCTTGCCGTCTCTCTTGGTTTTCCACATGTCCTTCGCTCGTTTGGCACGTATATTTCCATGCCGGAAAGCGCCGACGCCGTGTTTGCGCTAACAGTGTCCGACAGTGCACATAAATACATGTACGAAGCGGTTTGAGCACCGTTTTTCATGCCACGATTTTAAAATAAAAACGCCGTAACTGACCAATTATTTCATTTGCGTGTCTGGGAAATGTTCTAAAGTGCCTAGTAGGTACGAATTATTCGTGATATTTGCTCTTATAATCGAGCGCAGAGAGGAAATGCACTCGCTTTTTTCTGTAGAAATGCATTACCGGAAGTCAATTTCGGACTGTTTGCTGTCTGCTTCAATTTGCAACAGCACACTAGCGCCAGTTGAACCTCTAGCGTACATTATAATAACTCTATGGGTTTTACTTTGCTTTGCTGATAACATACGCACAATAGGGTCGACAACCGAAAACATGAAGTCCGTCAAACATAGCGAAAACAATAAAAATTGTCACTGGGTTACATCCCTCCACTGTTAGTAAGATTCACAATCTCGTTCATTAATAAACGTAAGCTCCCAATCGGGAGACTGGTCGACGCAGTCTTAACGACCCTCAAGGAGGAGAACTTGTCGGCTGGTCATGGACCTCTGCTTCGGCGGTAAAGTGAACGCGGTGAGTGAGAGACTCATATCACCACAAATCTCGTCCATGCACTCTCAACAAAAGGGTTGTCGTGGGGTACTAGCTTCGGGGTAGTCAGAAGCCGTCACAGATATCGCTACCCCACCTTCGTTATACTGACAACCCCACGGGTAATCACACGGCACGCAATCAACAGGTTGCCAAAGTGAGCACCCCCAAAAGCAACATGGCGGCTGGCAAGCGACAGTGGAGCAGTACGAGTAAGGCCTAGCGAGCTGGACTGCTTTTTGCTAAAATACGATTCTCAAGTGCGTGCGCCCGTTCGCGGCTTTCCGTGCGCACTGAAGCACTCCAAAACGCGCCTCGAACCACGGACACCGCACGTATTACGAGTAGAGGCGACGATGTGAAAGGAAGGGGGGGGGGGGGGGGGGGGGTGCATTTGAGGGGGTTGTCCGCGACTGCTTTTTCGTTCGGCCGGCTGCATTTACTTCGCGACCAGAAAACATTCAAGAAAGGAATCGTATAGCGACAAATGGAATGATATCTTTATTGAACAGAGCGTCTCCTTGCTGTGCTTGCCGCAAGTGATCCGGCGGTTTCGGTTGACAGCGGCGAGGCGAAGCATCACCGATTTAAGCGGCGTCGGTTCCGATCGTTCAATGCTCCTGCTCACCTGTTAGCATTCGTTATCCACTTCCAAGTCTCTGGTAATCCTCAACGCGTTTGTGCACGCACTTCGCGCTATTCACCGCACGGAACACCCGGCTATGAGACTGATCCCACTGGGACGAGAGGCTGAGAACCGAACCCTTTGGGGCTGCCCCGTCAGCTCCGTAGAGCCATGGAACGCCTCCATGTTTTTCACTCAAATAAGTAGACATATAAACGCGCGACTCCTTGAATTGGGCGGCGCCACGCGCCACCTAACGGACAGGGCTCAAACTAGAAAAAAACGAAAGCAACAGTCTTTGTGTTTAGCGCTTCGCCAGACATTCACGAAAGTACATATTCTACTACACACTTCACACATACTCGATATACAGACACCATAGCATTCTACACAGGAACGCGTTCAGACACAGCACAAGGTACTACATGAGACATTGACACTCTACATTCCTATACACACGTCTAGTCGACACCGCCACCTTATATACTGCTGTATTTTCTGTGACCGATTAGGATGGTGACCACTGTCATATTTTGCATAAATACGAAAAGACTGTGCAAGGTTTACGCGTATATATTATTTTCCTCTACTGCCCTTAGGAAAGCGCTCGTATCTCTAATGTAATCCATTGCAAAAGTGAACTGCAGGTTATGAATAAATTTGAACAGTTGCTACACGTCACGTTTTGATCAGTTTCGTTTTCTCGCTAGCCTACACTTTAAGTATACAGAAGCCTGTTTAATTAATTGTATTAATTATTGAAAACAATTTCTGCAGTCACAACTTTCTGAACACGCTGATGCATTTTCTTTTCTCTTTTTACATATCCGAATGACTTCAGCGGCGGTTGAGTAAATGTTGAGTACACTGAGCGCGCGCAGGTGATTCTAGCGAAGCCCGTCCGCCGGTCCTCCCCGAAGCGTTGTTTCAGTTTTCTTCTTTTCGCTACAATTGTTTCTGCTCAAGCGTGTGTCTTTGAAATATGCGTTCTATGCGCTCGCGCTCGCGCCAAGAGGACAGTGCAGAATTGCCGCTTTCGGGCCCGTGCCTTCACCTGCAACAAACGCGAAATACGTATGCTAAATTATGTAAAGCCTGGTTCAGACAGTGGCGTTTGACTGCGTCTGACTGCGTTGCGGCAGCGAGAAACCAGGGCATCCCTGCTGCTTACATCGCGTGCGAAGATGATTCCTTGAATTGGATTCCACGCTTCATACGAAGCACAGTCGTGCCGGTGAGTCGCTTTCGGTTCTCGACGCAAAGCTGTCAAACTCATTCAAACGCAAGTGTCTGAACCGGCCTTACCGCTCATTCACACTGGAAGCGGATCCGGGTTTGCAAAGCGGTTGCGAACGCGGTTGTATAAATATCCAGTACGATTGCACGCGCACTCCATGACATCAAGTGCGCGTGCAATTGGACTGGGTCTTTATACAACCGCGCTCACAACCGCTTTGCGAATGCGGATCCGCTTCCAGTGGGAATGAGCTGTTGAGCATCAAAGAACGCCGAGAACATAGTTCTCTGCGCTGCACCTGCTGTCGTCTCCAGCAATACCTTTTCTAAAAAAAAAAAAAAAAAAAAAAAAAATCTAAAAACAAATAGCACGTATATGTTTGTCAATGCCTTATTTTTGGAAATTTACTTGGAATCTTTTATATAGATAAAAGGAACGCGTGCTGGAAGGCCTGAAATCCTAGTCCCTTTCGAAGTACTCCGCCTTGGATGACACATACTTGTTTGAGCATTTTTTTTTTATCGAGAATGCTCGATGAAATCATGTATCCCGAGACATGCGAATCATGTATCCCGAGACAGAGAAATAGTGAAATACACGAACATGATCGCAGATATCTGTTTAGGTTCGTCCCGTCCGGCCTGAGTCGTGGTGTGCAATGCTTCATACTTCACTGCACTTGCAAGCAAAAAAAATGGGTACGACAGGAGCGCAAGTTCGGCGGAACGGGCGGAACCGAGGAGGCCACTTGCAACTGAACTGCACGCAGAACTGACCGATCACACCTTTATTGAGAGCACGCTCTTTACTGAACCGCACAATAAAAGACGACAAGAGTATCTCGTCCGACGAACATTCAAGTCAACTCACGCCTGTGCGTAGCTTTCTGTGCTTTTCTAGAGATTTGGTTAAATTCCTCGAGCACGACGCCAGCTGCCAGCTGTTGCAGCTGTTGTTTACTGTTGTACATCGTAAAACCCGCGACGGAACCAAAAAGGACAACCGCGATACTTTTTATCTGCCTCGGGTTTTAGTAGGTGCGTACCAATGTTGCCTGTACTTGTTTGTTTTCTGCCAGTTTAGGCGAAATGAGCCACACGCTTGTTTCGAGCGGTTTAAATTTAAATAAATAATAACCAACGCACAAAGAAAACAAGTTTTAAGTACTTTTTGAGCTTTTTGAAGTGACTTTTACTATTAAACGACTGCATGCACTTGAATGTTCAATTCAAGAGTTTATAAAACGTGACTACCCCATGCTTGTCACCTTCCAACAGGGTGCTAACTCTCAATGGCTCGAGCCCAGTGGGTCGTTAGGTAAGCCTGTGGCGTAGTTACAGCCGTCAAAACGCACGATGACTAGGGGGGTGCTCACTTTTTCTTAGAGTGTGCAACTGCGACGGCTGATGCACGATGGAGGCCAATAACGCATTAAGGGACCCATAGTGAACGTCTACGTTGATGTGGATGGCATAGTGACTGTGTTGCCCCGTGCCATCGAAACGACGTATGCTTGGGAAGACGACGTAGCTGGCAGGGGCAGTGAGAGAAAGAGAGTAAACATTTATTCGCACCCAACAATTCGTCCTGGGTCATTTTCTTTACCACTCATCGCCCAGCATGTTCTTAACGTGCTGAACTAAGAGCGGCCAGAGGATGAGTTCGGTCCCGGCAGAGAAGACGACGTAGCTGGCAGGGGCAGTGAGGAAATGTGATTTGCTGCCGTGGCTTAAGCTGCTGTGTGATAGGATGCTCTACAAGCATTCTAATATAAACTGCGATTTGGCACTTTTGGGTGATATTCTAGAAGTGGACGAGCACGACGAGATTGGGTTGTTCCCGCATTGCTCAGACTTGAATGATCCCATCCAAGTGGCTACAGCCATGACGCTGTCTCAGCACACTCTCGTATGGGACGAGGACAAGTTTCTCGCGATTGCGCCTGGTAAGAAGAAAAGGCCTGTGAGTATCTTTTACGACGAACATGCGAAGGAGCTTTCGGTCCCACAGATTTATCTTGGTGGGCCGCGGCGAGTAGATCCCAGCGCAAAAACGACAGTCTTCACGAGTGAGATCCGCAGATCGGACCGTCGAGTGGCCTCACCGCAGCACGTACTGTACATGGTCATGAAAGTGTTTAGGCACCGAGTAGACGGTCACATGTGCGTGGCCTTTCCTAACATCAAGGCGATTGAAACACTAACGAAGCAACAGTTGCTCGACAAGGATTTTGTGCAGGAAGCGCTCGAGCACGACATGAATTTCATGCGTGGTTCCCAACACCGTACAGTACTGGACAAAATACAAGAAGGACCTCTTTGCTAGGATACTCCAGTTGGGTAAGCCGACCGCGTTCCTCGCTCTGTCTGCCTCGGAAATGCACTGGCCCGACCTTCTAAACTTGCTTCAACGCTTTCGGCTGAAGCCCGGCAAAATCGGGGTGCCACTAGAGAAAACAAGCAGCATTTATCGAGCTCAGCTGGTGCAACAAGGTGTAAAGTTGGGCGAATTGGATGACGGTCATATTGAGTGGGTTAAAACAGCGCAAAACGACGAAGGACCAGTAAAAAAACGCACTGACAGCTGGTCAATGACGATCCGGAGGTCTGTGCCATATATTTAAACCGATTGGTGCGTGTCACTCCCAACATTCTCCGCAATACCCGTATATCCCCTTTCAGGCCGTACATAGTCGTCGACTACTCTAAGCGGATCGATTTTCAGCACCGCAGGTCGGCACACGCACACATTCTCCTTTGGCCTCATAACGCGCCCAACGAGGAGCTCTCCATGCTCGTGACCCATGCAGACTCTTGAAATGGCTAACGCTCTGCTTTCCCTGGACACCGGATGCTTGAAGCGGGAGTGTACTCAGGTGCACCAACACACGCATAACTGCTACAAGCACAACCCGACCAAATGCCGCTTTAACGCGCCCTCTATGCCTGGCACGTAGCCAGGATTTTGTTTCGGGAAGGGCCCGCCCATGACACAATGCTGTATGAGGGGGTGGGCGGAGAGGAGGCCCCATCAAAATGGAAGGGTTAGGGGGGGGGGGGGGAAAAGGCCGGGCCCCATGCCCCCCCCCCCCCCCCCTGGCTACGTGCCTGTTCTATGCCCATCGATGAATGTATGGTCGTAGTGCCTTTCCCCACTGTGGACAATGAAGCTCAGAAGAAGCAAATCGAGAGCCTCCTAAACAAGTACCATGGTCGTGCATCAGGCCCTGGAAGCGAGGAATTATGGCTCCAGGGGGCAGTTTTAAAAACATCACGGTATCACGGGCAAGGCGGAGTACATTTCTGTTCTTCGAGCGGGCACTCCTCGTACCATGCAACAAAAGTGGGTGAATTACTTTAACCCATGGGCTGCGTCTATTCTTGATTCCAACATGAATCTTCAAATTGTCCTCAATACGTACGAGTGTGCTGCCTCCGTGGGGGAGTATGTGAACAAGGGCAACCGGGGTATGTCGAACCTCAACCGGACAGTGCAAGAAATTGTCAACGAGAAGGGGGACATGGCCTACACTCAGGCGCTGAGACATCTAAATGTGAAGATGCTCAGTGCCATCGAACTGTCCGCGCAGGAGGCCGCCTGGTGTTTGTTGAACCAGGACATGTCGGAGGCGAGTCGCAAAATTGTCTTTGTGAACTATGCCTAGCCCGAGGAGAGGACGCGCATTCGGAAGCCTAACGCTCAGATGGCGCAGGAAGGCTTAGTAGAATCCAGCACGGGTGTTTGGAAAGGGACGATGATCGAGCGCTACAAAGACCGCGTTGCCAAATTGGAAGCCATTACTCTGGCAGAGTTCGCTACCGACTACAACACGTTGTGAGTGGGCATAAGCCTCAAACAGAAATGCAACAGTCCAAAGCAATACACACTGAAAAATCATGTACAGCTTAACTGCAAGTTTGTAGCCACTCCCTGGAGTACGGGCAAATTCCAAGAGCTTCTTCCGGGCAAGTTGAACATTCTCTGTGTAATCTTCGCTAACTGAAATACATATATTTTTCAGCTTATATCACGACCCTAGCACTGCTTGCTTATGCTTAAAAAAGAGGAAACTTAACAATAATAGGCCCGTTTTTTGTTGAACGCCAAGGTTTTCCGAGCGCACGTCTAAAACCAGCGTCTCCGATTCGGCCCGCGTTTTTCCAGCCGAATCGTATAGGCCACAGAACAGCAGGTTTGATCGACGAGAACGACCTTCGACGTCATCAGAAAGACGGAAGGTGTCAGCAGAGTGAGAGCCCACGGTTGTACCCGGTCTCGTCGTAACTTGGCAAAGGCTGAACGCTACGCCCTTCATTGCGCTCCAACGGCTTCGATACGCGCTACGTATACCAGTGTAACGCACACATATAATGGCGCATGACGCAGCGACAAGTATGACACTCTTTCGCAGTAAAAGCGCACTCCGGCGGTACGTAACCTCGCGCCTCCATTTGTTGTTTCGATTGGCCCGCAGGGGCCGTAACTTCCGCCGTACTGGCATGCTGCAGGCCCACGGCTTTCTGGCCTACCCATAATTCCTTGCTTCAGACACTAGGCTAAGCTACGCCACCAAAATAATACAGCGTGAAATTTCGTCTGTCCCCTTGAGCACCTAAATGTGTGTTTGTTCCTTCCCCCAAAAACGTCAACGTGCTTTAAAAAAAAAAAAAAAAAAGCTTGCTTTAGAGATTTTGAAGGTTGTATCGCCCGTTCAGCTGGACCACTGTATAGCACAAAAAAAAAAATATATATATATATATATATTGTGCGATTTATAAGGGCCGATCATATCGCGAATGTATTTTTTACGTTTACGCCTTTATCTGTAGGTGGACGATTCACAAGCTTTGACACGCGCCGAATGCCTGATTCGGATGCAGCGCTACGCTGCTGGGTTTCAAGCTCATGGCGTCCAACCCGGCGACCACGTTTGTGTGCACTTGGAGGATAGCGTGGAGAACTACGTGGCCATGTTCGGATGTGTCTTCGCCGGAGCAGCGATCGTCTTGGCAAAAAACTCTCTGACAGAAAGTACGCTCGATATAACGATTATTCTTTTTTTGATGTACACCGCGAAATATCGCTCCTCGGCGCACCGTAAAGCTCCATAGAGTTTCACGTTTCACCCGAGATAGGCGACAGGGAATGAGACATATGACAGATTTCATAATCTAAATCACACGTACTTACGTCACATCAGCCGCCTGTGGTGACCTTGCTGCCGAGCGCGTGCTTTTGGCAGCATACATTGCACATCAACGAATGTGGTTTTTTCGGCAAGAACAAGTAATAATAACCATGAGCACGGTGTGATGACCCAGGAACAAGCCAAGTATAAGTCAACGCTCTGTTTACGCACAAGTGAGTGTTTACCTACACCAAGTAGGGGCACTGCGTGTGCGCAGAAACGAGATTCGTGTGAAGTCAAGCGTATGCTAATGGGCCGCGCCGACAGCAGCTCCACCACAACGGCGTGAAACAGGTGAAGCACGCAGAGCGGCCGCCATTCGAGGCACTGAAGAGTGTGGTGAGTGCGTGCCCCGCGTAACCTGACAACACAGTCCTGTAGGCAGGTTGGCAACGCACCAGAACGCTTCCACACGCTCAGAGCACTAAGGGCGTCGGTGATTTTCTCCTCAGGTACCTCAGTATGACCGATGCTCGTTACGCGAGTCCATGTTTTGGTTGGGGCGTCGATGAACGAGGCCGATCAAGTTCGATATTTAAAGTATCGTATACATTTTACTCTAATCTGTTTAATTTTATGACAGGTCGCATCCAATGTTACGAGCTATCGGATGCAATCGAATGTCGTGTCAAAGTCACGTGACCTTCGGGATAAGCGCATCGACGCGCGCGTAGTCACGCCATGCGTCCTGAGCGCCGATAGACCTTTTCCACAACCCTGTCGAGCAACGTTGGCGGTCGTCGTTCGTTGGGCACAAAGCCTACGATTGTATTCCGAATTCCCGCATAACGCTGACGGAAAATTCACTCGAGATGCGAGCCGGGTCGAGTTTCTGGCCTCTTAATGCGCAGTAGGTATGCGCGGCAGACCATTTCAGCTCACTGCGCTTGCACCCGATTGAGCCGCGCGTGTGCGATGCGCCAGTACGCACGCCTGCACGTTCGCACACTCTTTGAAGGACCTGACGACCTTGACGTTGTCCTCGACGTCGTCCTAGAAGTCGTCCTTGAACGTTGTCCTCTAGGACGTCGTCCTTGAGGTCGCCCAAGAGGCCGCCCTTGAAGTCATCCTAGAGGTTGTCCTAGACGTCGTCTTTGAAGTACAACTACAACGTGACCCTTCATTTGATTACCATTTTCTGACGGTTCCTAGTATATGGTGAATGCAACATACCTTCGCCTTCCTTTTTTATTTTGCTTTCGAAAATAGAGTAGGCAAAAACGTGGATGTGTTTGAAAAAACGTCGGAAGACGCCTAAACACTTCTGATGAGTTGTGAAGGCGAAAGCATGAATGTCCAATGGAACGCCGCGGAGTGATCCGCGGAGTTTTGTGGCGCGAGTAATGTTTTCGAGTTGTGGCAGTAGCACCGGCGACGATGTGGATGCTAGAGGCGACGCCATGTTCGTCGGCGTCGAGACGAGCAGAAGCACCGCCGACGATGTGGATGCTAGAGGCGGTGCCATGTTCGTTGGCGGCGAGACGAGCAGAAGCTTCCGAGCGCGCGCCAACCCGTCCCGTAGTGGCATGGGGTTGCGGCATGTCGGGACCGAGCGGTTGTCCGTGCACTTTGGGTACGGCAGGGGGCCGAGCCAGGGCAGGAACTCACGTGGTAGCCGGAATCGGGAAGGGCCAGGGAGCAGGAGGAGTGTCTTTTATATAACTCTTTATACATACATATGGACAGGTCACATCCTCAACGGGAGAAAACTGTCGGGAACACTTGAGAACACTAAAGAAAACACACGCTAGCAAAAAAAAAAATTGGTTTGCTCTGTATGTTTATACAGCCTTGATGGAGATACACCACAGCGGGTAATCGGTCTCTTAGCTGTAGATGAGAAATTTAGCCAGTGCAGTACAACCGCTAACCTGGGATTTTTAACGTGCATCACGCAGTAGTGATTACACGAACGCGTGCCGGTACGAAACTCATCCAGATCGAAACGGGCGGGGGCGTTGGACATTCAAACCCAAGAGGTTCCCAGCGCAAGCCTTCGCTCCACGCTATGAGCTGAGACGCGTTAGCCCACTCGGCCACTTCCTCGCCTCACACGCTAGCAGCGGCCTGCAGCTCATTTTATAATGTCACATTTCCCCACATCCCTAGTAGGGAATCCTCAGGGGTCAGGCCTTCACCAAACTTGTGGGGCCAATGTCCCTAACATTCAGGTATGCCCTTCCCCTCTCTCTCACACTGCCAGACGCGGCACACACACGAAAAGGCTAGACATCCTTGGCCGCGGTGTCGCCGGTCAATCTCGGTGGACAATGGTGGCATCGAAGTCGAGGAAGGCGGAAGACATCCATAGTTGCAGGCGTTCTGGCTTCCGTGTGTTAGGGGATAATCCCTTGGGCGATCTAAGCTGAGGAAATTGAGTAAAGCTCCCTCCTTTGTTGAGGACGTCCCACGGCTGTCGGGTCGCCATGCGTCGAGGCCAGAAAGAAGAAGCAAGGAGAGGGGCCGGACGACAAAGACGGCCAGATGACAGTGGCGTGGGTCAACCCAATGATCCTTCAGAGAAGGTCACGTCGTCCCCGTGTACCAAGGTGCGTTGGCGACTCCAAGGCGCCTCTCGCGCTGTCTCCGGGCGCAGCTGACCGTAGCCACCTGGCGACGATGCTCCAGGGCGTTCACCCGTGCCGGTTGGTGGGGAAAAGCAGGGTCATCTCTGGGCCGGTTTGCTCATCTTACGGCCGCGGCCGCGGCTGCGACCAAGAGGGATTTTTACGTCACGTGACCAGCTCCATGGGGACAAGGAAGTACCTATCGTCCCTGCCTAATGGCGGAGAAATCCGTATCGCTTCAAGCACAAAAGCCTAATTTCGTACGCAGAAACTGACTGCAGGGTCTTTCAACTGGAGTCCAATTGACCGCCCCTTTATACTGTAGGAGCGGTAGGTAAAGTTATGGCCAGGAAAAGTAAATTGGACCCAAAATTAAAAAAAAAAAAAACACGAAAGGTAAAAGCGGTTGCAGTATATTTATATATTTCCGCCAGCGCCGGCGCATCGCGCCCTTATCGGAGCAATGCCGAGACTGGATGATGAGGATAAAGAAAGGCTGCAACAGACAATGTCGGTCGATGAAGTAGAGGCTGCTATTATGAATTTAAAACCAGGGAAAGCTCCGGGTCCGGACGGGTTAAGCGCGGCCTTTTATAAAGAATTTGAACATGAAGTGTCACCCCTTTTAACCTCTGTGTTTAACGAAGTCCTTGACCTTAAAGCTTTGCCCCCATCTTTTGCGGAAGCACATACAATTTTAATTCCGAAAACGGATAACAGGGAAAAACTTAAGCAAGTAACATCGTATAGGCCGATTTCATTAACAAATGTAGATTATAAAATTTTCATGAAGGTCTTAGGTCAACGATTGCAGTCAGTTATTCAAGAAATCGTGGGCCCACACCAGACGTGCGGCATTAAAGGACGCTCGATATTTTCAAACATACACAAGGCGAGGTGTGTGTTGGAGTGTTGCGACGCCTTGGATGCTTGAGTAGCGGTCCTCCAGCTCGACCTCAAGAAGGCATTCGACTGTGTAGCGCACGAAATTCTCTTTGCGATTTTGGACCATGTGAATATGGGGCAAGTAATTCGCCAGGGCGTGGCTCTGGCGTACCGAAATTGTACTACAAGGCTGATTACAAACAAGTGTCTGGGGGCCCCCATTAAAGTACAACGTTCGGTGCGCCAGAGCTGCCCCCTCAGGCCTTTTTCGTGCAGTATTTATATCGAAACGTTATGTTTAAGGATACAGTATTGTGGGGGGATTACGGGTTTTGAACTGGGTAGCTCAGAAGTTAGGCTTTTGGTCTACGCCGACGACATTGCTGTTTTTTGCACCAACAAAGAAAGTGTCGAACGAGTAGTGAGGGAAATTAAGGAGTATTCTGCAACCACGGGGAGTAATGTAAACTGGGACAAAAGTATTGGGTTTTGGCACGGGGAATGGACTTCAAGACCGAGTTTTTTTGCAAATGTTAGATGGAAAACAACCCCCGTCAGGTACTTGGGAGTACCGCTAGAATGATATAAGAGCAGCGAGGAATATTGGAATGCGCAAGCGCAAGAAATGAAATCTCAACTGGAAAAATGGAAAGGACAGCATCTCTCGATATTTGCCAGAGCGACGGCGTGTATTTTATCTTTAGTATCAAAAATATGGTATGTGATTCAGGTGCTGTATTGCACACGACTTAACATTCAAAAACTTCATAGAGTGTTTGCTCTTCTTATTTGGGGGTCATCCTGGGAAAGGTGCGCGAGGGACAATTTGTTTAGGCGAGTCCGGGACGGGGGGTTCGAATTGTCCCACCTGTTTCTCCGTCAGGTAGTAAATAGATTTTTGTTTTTTCGGGACACCTCCGACCCTTTTCTAAGAACTGTGTGTCAGCTGAGATTGGCGCGAGCGCTGCCTCAGCTGATAGTGTCGTCCACAGAGTGTATACCCGGCCATGTTCGTGGTTATTTCAGAGAAATTGTAAGCTCTTTACGGATCTTGCAGACACGTTTTCCTATGGATTATTTAAGTACCGTTACACGTAAAAAGCTATGTAAAGATTTAAGAAGCGGCGTATTTTCTGTACCGAGGTACAGAGCCATATACTGTGAAGGCCCAAGGCAGGATGTTTTGAAAAGAGTGAAGAGCATGCCAGTTAAGCCGGGGGTTAAGACTTTCTTTTTTAAGCTTCATACCGGAACGTTATCAGTTAAAACATATTTAGAAGGAATAGACAGTTTTGTCCCTTGGGGAACAAACTGTTACACTTGTAAAGTCCCCGAGACTATTGAACATGTTTTTCTTACAATGTTGGGAGGGGGTATTCTTCTGGGATGTG